CATGTGGACATTGTGACTCCTAAATTTCGATCACCTCATAGGTTAAGTCCTTGCTGTAGCTTTCGTTATAAACACCATGTGTTTAGCTTTCCCTCATTTATTTCCAGCTTACCTTTTGCCTCTCTTCGACACTTCCAGATGTCAACCTAGCTGAAGGCCGGTGCTGCTGTGAACCGTTGTGTTCCAGTGAGGCCACAGTCCTTCCTCCCACGCACGGCTCTATGCCGTCCTGTGTACCCCTCTGCAACAACTGCTGCTTCCCGCTCCCGTGCCTTTCTTTAAATTGTACACAAGAAGTTTCCAGAACAAAACCTAGCTAAGGTCTTTCTTTTTCTTTTTTGTATTTTGATTAGCATATGTTTACAACACGGAATAAATACACTCATCGTGGGGAAATGGTACCTACATATATTGTATCTTGATCCTTTTTACTGCTCCTCCTCTTCTCCTTCGCATTAACCCCATTCCCAGTCCGCCTTCCTGTTCCTTATCGTCTTTTGCTTTGCTCTTCAAATTATTTATACTTGCAGCTTCTCATACAAGAAAAACCATGTGATAGCTAATCTTCTCTGTCTGAATTATTTCCCTTAGCTTTACATTCTCAAGGTGCATCCACTTTGCTATAAATGATTCAAAATTTTCTGTTGTGATTGATCTGTTACAACTTGTGCTGCCAGAAACACGGCAGTGCATGTATCGCAGTAATAGTAGGCCCATAACTCTTTGGGGACGATGCCCACAAGGAGTATACCTGAGTCAAATGAAACTTTTAGTTTTGGTTTTGTGAGGAAACTCCATACTGATTTCCGTAGTGGTTGTACTAGTTTACGTTCCCACCAGCAATGTAAAGGTTCTTCCTATGACCTAGCTAGAATTTAATGTGGAGTTCTGGATAATAACTATTCTTTGGGGAGTAAGATAGAATCTCAGTGTTATTTTTAATTTGAGTTTCTCTAATGGCCAAAGACGCTAAAAAATTTTTCCTGTAACTATTGGCCATTTGTGCTTAACTTTATACGTGAAGTATTCATTTCAGTTCTCTTGTTATGACTGGGTCTTTTATTTGGGAGAGTTTCATTAACTTAAATTCTTTAGATAATCTAGATTTAGTCCTGTGTTTGAGGAGGAGTACTCCACAAAACACTTTTTCCATTTTGTACAGTGGCTCTTCACTCTGTTGTTTGTTTCCTTTGTTACGAGAAGTTTTAAAAATAACGTAATCCCAGTTGTTAATTGTTGTCATCGTTGCTTTTGTTATTGGTGTTCTGTGAAGAAAGTCCTTGCCTATGACTATGTCTTCAGGAATTTTACGTATTTTGTCTTCCAGCAGATTCAGTATATCTGTTTTCATATCTTGGTCTTTGGCCCATGTTTATTTGACTTTAGTACAGGGTGAGACATACAGATCTCCATTCATTTTTCTGCCTATGAAAAAGCAGTTTTCCTGGCACTGTTTGTTAGAGGCTCTTTTCTCCAGCATGTTTGGCCCCTTAAACCTGAAGGTGCCTGAGGTTGTTCTGCATCCTCAGTTCTTTACAGTTGATCACTGCGTCAGTTTTTGTGCCAAGAACATGCTGTTTTTATTATGACAGCTTCGTAATGTAACTTGAAGCTGAATATCATGATGCCTCTTACTTTGTTCTTGTTCATGGTTACTTTGGCTATTCTGGGGTCTCTTCTGCTTTCAGATGAATTTTAGGATTGTTTTCTCTAGTTCTATGAGGAATGCTGTTGGTATTTTGATGGGAATGGCATTATTTCTATATCATTTTTGGTAATATGACCATTTTGACTATCAGTTCTAGCTATCAACAACAGGGGATATCTTTCTGTCTTCAGTCTCTTCATTGTACTATAGTTTTAATTATATATGACTTTCATTTCCTTGGTCAGGTTAATTCCTAAATCAATTTTTTTTTTTAAACTACCCTGAATAGGATTGTTTTCCTGATTTTTTCTTCATGGGTTCATTATTGATGTATAGAAATGCTGTTGATTTTTGTGCATTATTTTATATCATTACTTTGCTGAATTTTTTTTTTATTAGTTCTAAGAGTCTTTTGTTGGAGTGTTTTGGGGGCCATTTAAAATTTCATGTCATCTGCAAATAAAGATAGTGTGACTTGGGCCAGGAATTTAGCTCAGTGGTGCCACTGCCTACCTCAAAAGTGCAAGATCCTGAGTTTGATCCCTGGTACCCAAACAAAAAGGATAGTATGACTTCTTCCTTTCCTATATGAAGATTTAGTTAAAAGGACATTCACTTTGTTGATTTAACCAGACTCAGAGTTATGCTAGCCTTGCAAAATAACTTGACTTGGACCTTGAAACTAATGTTAGGAATTCCTGGTGACTTCTAAACTTCTTTAGAGCAATATATTTTCTGAACTTTATATTAAAAATACAAATTATTAAAATATTAAATTTCTCCTTTCTCCATATTTTTCACATTTTATTTGTCCTTCTTTCTACTGTCCTCGGAAATGATCTTTTTAAAGAAACAATCACCAAAGATCAGGTTGGAATCTATTAATTACTTGGTATCTTTCTAGTGCTCATGTGTTGGTAAGAATTTTGTGTCCTTCTATATATTCCTATAAACAGCTCTTGTGTTTTCGCAAGTTGTTCCACCGTCTACATTTTTGTCTCTCAACATTTTTAGCTCCTTCGAGAATCATTGTTTTTTCTGCTAGAGGAACAGTTAAAAAGCCAAAGCTTTGGACAAAAGCAGACCTAAATTCTAATCCAACCCTAAATTTCATGACCTTGAGGAACTTCTTCCATTTCAATTCAAAGGCACATTTTAGGACAGTTTTACTCAGATGAACCTTGATTTCATATTTGAAAGGGCAAAACTGATGCATTATTTGAGTAGGGGCAGAAGGTGTATGTTTTTGTACTCGAAGTTTCTATTATCTCTAACTTTTAAATTTACTACTATGTTTCAGTGTATACATTCATATTTTTAGTAGTGGTTCATTACTTCTTTGAAAGGTGTGAATCTGTCTGTAGTGGTTGATATTTTGTTATTGAATCACCATTTATGGAAAACTGGTCAAAATATTTATCTAGATAACAGATAAAAAGTTTTCAGTGTTATGAAATCTTAAAGACTGAAACTAAAGTCATGAATAACTGTTTTGTTCATGTATTTATTCTCACCTACAGACATTTATTCCATGCCATCTTTAGTAAATTTTGTAATTTTAGTTAGGTAAAATTAAATTTATCTACATATTGTTATCCTGTAGAAGCAATAACCAGTATAATCATTTTCAAAGACAAGGACACAATATATAATACAATATTATAAAGCCTAATATAAAATACAATTTATAAAACATACTCTAATCTGTTAAAATAGTTACATTTTAAAAATTCAGTATGAGCGCATATATTCTACTGGACACATTTTTAAATTTCAAAGTGATATCTCTAGGATATGTGGATATGTTCTAAATAAGTTCAGAATAATAACCAAATAAAACTATTTTTCTGATTTTAAATGTGTAAGTTTTTAAAATTTATGTAGCCATACACCTCAATTCTAACAGTTTAAAAAATAAACTCCAAAATCTTCATATTTGAAGTTAATTCTTTTTATTGTAATCTAAGAAGTAGGAATTAAATCTTTTTCTGATTGTGTGATAGGATATACATAATTATTCTAAAGATTCTTTTGCAGACAATCATTGTTGACAATCAGAAAACACTTTAGTGTAATGTATGATGTTCCCTATTTCTCTGGAATATATCTTACATTAGTCTGCATAAAAATCATAACTTTATCACTAATTTTAATGTGGTGATTTCATTTAGGTTATAGTGTCTGGAAACTGAACAATGCGTGTATTTTTCTGTTTTCAGTTTTCACATTTCATTTGTGGTGAAACCCCACTTAGCAGGTTCTATGGCTTATCCTGAGCAATTTTATCCTTTGAGATTTCTCTTTCAGAAAAAAGTCAGGACATTCCAAGAACTATTTCACAGTAGAGAAGTTTCTATCTTGTATAGTAAAAAACTGCCTATGGAGTCTGAAGACAAATTGAAAGTAGGACATTGGGATATGTTGTATACATGCACACATTATAAAATATAATAATTGTGTTCTCAACCAGATTGTCAAACATTTTACATAATGCTAAATGAAGATGACATGAGTATTAATCCTAATGTTCGACGTGACTATTGTAAAGCAAGCTCCTTGTTTTTGGTTACTGTATCATGTAGCTATCATTACAAAAATTTCTCCTTTTAGTTTATTAGTAATTTGTTAAAGATCATTTTCTTGATTTTTTTTAATGAAAACTATTAAGTGATAGCTTAGTGGAAGCATGTGCATTATGGAAAGTCTTACTTAAAATTCTAATCCTCAAGATAATTTGAGATTTGTCTGTTTATATAATGTAAACACATGAATTCTGGCAAGCATCCAGGTAATATTTATCAATGTAGGTAGATTGACCAGATGATGCTCTTCAAATACTCTCCTTCTGGTCCTTCACAACGCCTTTTCTCTATTTCTGTGCTGCTGTTGCTGAGAAAAATTGTTACAGGTACTCTTTTCAATAAATGAAACAACAAAGGCATACAGGAATTGAACCAGTAAGGGTAGTAAGAAAATTACTGTGTATACAAAGCTGCCTTCTTTTTTAACACACTGTGTAAATTTAATGTTGAGCAAAAAGAGCGCTTGACCAAATAATAAGATACGAATGTTTTCCATAGACATTGGAAAGAGTAAATACGAATGACTGTAATTTGCTGGAGTCTGTGGACATAATGCTACTGAGAGCCCTTACATGAGGCACCTGTCATGTCTCCCCTGAGAACTAAGTCGTTAAGTTGAGGGTGACAGCTTCTTTCTTTAAATATTCCAGGACATAAATGAAATTGCCCATAGGAAAATACTACATCTGAGCATAGGTACTTTCTGAAAGGTGCATTTATTTTGTTATTGATAGTCTTTTTTTTTTTTTCTGTCTCCTTCTCTTCTGTAGCAGTTATATGCTGCCCAGCTAGCTGCAATGCAGGTATCTCCAGGAGGGAAGCTCCCAGGCATACCCCAAGGCAACCTTGGTGCTGCTGTATCTCCTACCAGCATTCACACAGACAAGAGCACAAACAGCCCACCACCCAAAAGCAAGGTACACTTTTGAAGATGCTCCCTTTCTTGCCACTTAGAGTTTTCCTTTTCATATAATGGTATTTATTGAAGGTCTTTTATATGCCCGCAACGGGGCTAAACCCTGGCTGTACGTGGAGGTATGAGTCCATTAGGAGCAATAGATGTGCGTATAAATTTCCATACATATATCTAGAATTTAATTCAAAAACATGTATTGATAGCTATAATAAAAACTCCAAGTGACACAGTGATTCATCAGGTGATTAAACTGGACTGAGGAAGGTTACAATCATAAAAGTAGATACTTATACAAATAGCCACATAACCATACTCTGTGATGCAAAGTAACACATTTTACAGAGGAATGCACAGATAAGAGTACATTGGAAGTTATTAGGGGGAAGAGATTAGCTTCAGTTAGAAGTGACAGTGTTTGCCAAAGAAGGAGCAACTGAAATAGATCTTAAAGCATAAGTAGGATTAGGACATATGGGGTGTGTTTTTTAAATATCAATAACTGTTATAATGTGATAAGGTATAGATATAATTTTAGATATATCACTGATCCACTGAGGTTATTATGAAAAGAAATGAAGATAATAATAGTATTAGATATAAGACTGTTTAGAAACAGTTTTGGTTTTAGCACTAAGGAAACATATCTTGAGAACACACGAGGAAGTATTGAGGAAATTCACATAATGCATGTTCCTTAGCTTAAAAGGAGAGAGAAACAGAAAAACTGTTCTGCAGTATCTATGTAATTTATATTTTGTGTTTGTTAAGGTCTTCTTTATATGACGTTGTATGAGGTTGTTTGTGTACAAAGTGAGAAGAGTGGCCCCTACAGTAGTGTTCCCTGAGATTATTCAAGACCATGCCTGACTTTTGCCTAAATTAGAAGATTTTACATTTACTCCCAAAATATGTTTTTTGAATTATCTAGAAAATTGCTTCTGTTTGCAACTCTGTGAGTGCCACATGGAAATGTCTGGAGAGTAACAGGGCAAGGGTAATCACAGTAGTTAACAGAAGCACAGAGAGGAGAGGATTAGAAAATATCGGAAGAGAAAAAGTAATTTTACCAACATCTCTCTCCATCCCCTGGCGGACCCACCAGGATGTCTTTCACAGTTCTTGTTTTACTATAGAAACTGAATTGAGGAGAAGAGGTTATTCAGCTGAGAAAGGACACTCCAGCCTTCCTCTTCCCCGAGCTCCTTAGTCCTTTACACGTTCTTATGCGAGAAATACATGTGGGAGTATAACTTAAGCTGGACAAAGACTTGGGGCCTTGATTCACTACCACTATGTATAAATACACAAGAAAAAGTATCAGGCACACTACAGTGACATTAGAGAATATACCCTTCTACTTTTTGAATCTATTTCAGCTGTTTAATGGGCCTTCTATGTTTGCTTAATGTATGTCTACAGCCTGTTCTGCTTTTCTTTATAATCACAGCAGCATGTAAGGTTTTAAAATTCAGTAATAATTATAACATTTATTGAATACAATTTAATTTTAAGGCAGTGATATTTTGGTGTCTCCATGGCCCAGCAGTTTTAATGTATTACATGTACAAGCTAACTTTGAGTAAAATAAATAGCTGTAGCAGCATAGTTCTTTTTGCACACAGATACATCTGTGAGGTGTTGTTCTATGATTTTTCTGTTGATTTATTCGTGTGATTTCATATCAAGTTTCAGAATAATGCTTTTCATTGTTTTAGGATTTGATAGTATGTAATTCACTTTTGAATGACTGATGGATTTTTTCTTACCCCTGAACAACATTTTATCATTAATGTTTTATTACCAAAGTAAGTGTGCAAATAATCATTATGCTTTGGACGCTAGATAGGCTCTTCCATTTATATTTCTAGTCACTTACTCATTCAGTCATCCATTCAAACGTTTATTGATCATTTGCCGTCACAGCAGTTTCTAACTGTGGAAAGTACAAAAGTGACTGAAGGTTTTCTTTGCTTTGATTAGAAAACTTCTTCACTATAAAAGACTCCTAAAAACTCTGTGCAGTATATTAAAATGATGCCACATCTTATGGTTTTACATGCTTATTACTGGTGAGAAAGTACATTGTTTCTTTTGCCATAATTATACACAGTTAACAAATATAACTTAGTCTGTCTTTGAAATTACTTTTTGAATATTAGCCTTTGTGAATTTTTTACATATAAGAAAGTTTTCAGAAAAAAATAAACTGTATTTTTCCCCATCAGCCACTGTAAAAAATACATAACGTTTTAATGAGGAATCAGTGTTCTTCTTTAAAATAATGGTTAATAAAAATATGTCCTTTCCTCACTCAGTGTCATCTAGCAAGTAACCTGTAACCTGCTTTATGTCAGAACGATTTCTTAAATCTGCTGTGTTAATTTAACTCAGTGGTAAAATGTAGTATGTTAAAAATAGCATACCAGTAAGTGTTATCACTGTCATTTAAAGAAGAACCTGCCCCCCAAATACAATCAACAGTAAATAAAGAGGACTAATTATAATACCTGAATTTATTTTCTTGCACCCTGAAATTGATATTTATACATAGCATAGTAAACATTTTCACTTCACAGAGCTATTTTCCTCAAGAGTACTAGCTAGCATTTGTTGTCATATTTATGTTTTTAAATAATCAATTATTAGTGTCTTGGGTAATTTCTGAGTTGTTTTATGGGCAAGTTTTCATGTCTGTCTTACTATAAAACAGAATGATTTTGTTTGAGGGCTTTGTGTCATCTGTATACCTACCTGGAATGAGGCAAATTGATAGTTTAAGTTAAAAGTACATTTGCTGTTTAGAGCAGTGGAATTGTAGGTCACATCCAGGTGATAATGTCAAGATCATGATCTTATTGACAACTGTCAAAAATCACCCCTTCTTTCCACCTTATTGCCTGCCCTTCTTGCTGGGTGTGCCTTTGCTTTTGCCTCGCAACTCCAGAGAAGGACGGAAACAAAACTTATTTGCAATTTGCAAAAGATGGAAGGGGGGAATGAAAAGGAGGGGCTCCAAAAGGCTGTAAAATTGTACAGCATGAGTCCTCTGATGCATGCTGTTTTCAATCTGCTGTGTGCCAGTTGGAGGCTTGGGGAGTGTGTGTGTGCGAGAGAAAGGATAATGCTGAGAAATGATAGAGTGGCTGTGACCTCCAAGCTCAGCCTGGAAATCCAAGACATTGATTTCACTTAGCATTCCTGCTGAGAAATCTGGCGGAGTTCAGTTGTAATAAAAGAACAAGATTCTGTTCTAATGGTAATGGCGTATGACAGACATATCACTTTGTCTGTCCTTAGCACCAGAGAGAGCAGCATTGGAGAAAGGTCAGCTGACCTGCCTGTGGCGTTGTAGGAGTGCTGTACTGAGCTTTGAACTGCCGCCTAGGAACATAATTATTTATAATATTAAATGATAAAGAAACCTTTAGAGGACTCACAGTGAACCTCTAAAAACTGCACACAGGAATTGTGTTCTGCGAATGTGAAAACATGAAAAGAAATCTGCTCTATTCAAAGTCTGTGTTTGAGAACATGGATAAACTTGCTTAATGCCTAGCGCATCGTTGAACTTTATCATTTGTGAACTCTGGATTAATACCTGACATATTACCATTAGTTAATGTTTTTAATATCTAGGCTTTATTTGTCACAAGCCAAAAACACATGTATATTTATGTCACCTTTTTGCCAAAAACAATATGATAGAGAATTAAGGCAGTCAGTGGGTTTTTAAAAATTCCTCAGCAGTTATAATCTTTCTAAATGCATACACATTTGTTTCCATAACAGTCATTTGAAAATTTCCCCCCTGGATCCTACTCGAGAAATATTTTCCTTTCACTGACTGACATGTACTCTTCACCAGTGCTCACGGAGCTCACACATAACTCATGGCTGAGTTTATAGCTAAGTGTTGGTAAATAATAAACACATGTTCTATTATTTCAAATTCTCGAGCCTCTCTGTAGAAGAGGTGTGCTATGTCATAGAAATTTTGCAATTTTACTTTCTCATGGTAAAGAAAATTATTTAACTGAAGCATTGTTGAGTGCTATTGTTTGAATCTCATATGCAGCGATAATTGCTTTGAATTTGCTTATTTATCTGTAAAATATTTACTTTTTTTTTTTTTTTTTTTAGTTTAGAGTCTGCTCCAGAATGGACTCATATACTGCACTCTTGGCCACCTTTGATATTTACCACATATTTATTTGTTTAAATGATTTCCTAAGTTTATTGCTGCAGTCTTTTAAGAGCCTCTGAACAGCCTTTGCTGTGTGATAGTATGTGATCTTTTGACACATTTGTTTTGTAAGAATAAATTATTTTAAAAATAATAGAAGCAATTTAGTACTTAAAATCATTAACTCAGGAGGGAGAATATTTATACTCATTTTCACAGACAGCTCACAACTGTTATGAAAAGCAATTCCACGTTATCAATGAGTCCTATGTCCTAAGTGTACCAAATATGTGAACTTGCCATTTCAAACAATTTGCCGTTGTAAAAGTAGCCACCCCTTTGGGAAAATTCGAAGGACAGCTTATAAATATGACTAAATGTCTCTTGGTATTTGGTGGAGACTTATATATTGCCTGTAGCAACCAAAAGTATTTAGTTTGAAAAGCTGATGACAAGGGAGAATTCCTGGGTGCTTTTCTTTTAACCTTGCAGTGACCCTAGTCACACCCCTAGTCACCGTTGTGTCTCTGTCAATAACAAGAACACACAGATTGTCTAAATCAATTTTTCTGTTCTTTCCAAACACTTCTGGCAGTGATGTTCCCATTTGCTCAGCGGTAGCAACCTGGGAGTTATGACAAGGAAAAGAAACAAGCCAGAAATGGCGCTAACCAGCTGACCAGACACAATCCCATCCTTTTCACTGCAGTTGCTTTATAAATATGGCTTCAGATTAAAAAGCTAGAACTGGAATTTTATTACTGTTTGATCCATTTTCATGGGCACAGCAATGCAGATCTTTTTCAAGTTGGTGGCCG